AATGCAATGATCTTTTTTTAGGCCTTGATATTTTTAGAGGCTATTTGAATAAATATTTTACACTGAATCGGCCTGTGTCAATTAAGTACATTCCAGATCACCCTTAAGGAAATAAACGACTCTGATACAGCACCTGAGGACATACTAACTTATTTCAACACCGTGAAACATCAGGACTTCAAAATTGCCATGAGTAATATGTTCTAATAGCCAGATAATTAAGAAACCTACTTATGAAAGAGAAATTTGGCCATGTAAAAGAAATATGCTATCTCAATTTTGAAATCAGTTTTCATAAACACATTCATCTATTCAAAGGGAAAACACAACCAAATGATATCCCGACATTAGGGAGATTCCCAAGGAGATAACTCAAGTGGACAAATTTCAAGCACCAGGAGCCAACTGCACAGTGAACGACAGATTTCCGTCCAACAGTCTAGAACGCGGTGCATCCTTCCTTTCCCTTGGACACAGCAGCCCATTTAACTTTTCCCTAACGGTCTAACAGTTCTGAGCAGAGAATGCCACTTCTGACAACTAGTTACCCCAGAATTCCCTAAGTGAGAAACGGGGTACCCATCAGCTTCCGTACATGCTAACTTAGTGAGAGGGCCGTTGGGTTAAGTCCAAGACAGCGAAGGAGGTTATCCGCGTTAACCCATAACTCTCAGGATCTGGCGCCCGTCCTTCCGCGTCCCACCTCCCCAGGGAACCCCTACCCCATTCTCCTAGTCTCCCACGAGGAGTCGCGATTTCCTGCCGCTCCATCACCCTGGGAGACGCTCTTCCAGCTCCTTGCTGAAGGAGTCCCTAGTGGCTCACTTGGTAAAGGATAGGGTGCGGGTCTGGACCTGGAGTGCTGGTGGGTGTGGGCCAGAAGACATCGAGGGAGTGAAGAGATAAGCAGGGGCGCTCCTGCAGGTGGGGACCTTCAGAAGGGATGCGGAGGTTCTGGGACAGAAGGGAGGGCATCGGGAGGTCGGAGGAGGGCTCCGGAAGGATGGAGGGCAGGTTTGGGGCGCTCGCGCAGGCAGGTAACTAACTTATGGAGGGGGTGGCAGATTTGGGGGTCCCGCCCCTGCACCACGCCTCGCCTCACCTGCCTAGCGCTCGCTTCATGCCCGCGTCGGCGGCGCAGCGCGGCTCAGCCGGCCCCTTGCCAGCCAAGTGCAAGTTGCGTTTCAGGCGGCTGTCAGGGTCCAGCACCGCTGCGGTCGAGCCAGAGGAAGAAGAGCCCAAAGCGACGCAGCGATCATGCTCCAAAGCGACGGGCTCCGTCCGCTTCCTCATCCCGCGGCCGACGCGGCCGGACACCGACAGCACCCGCTGGCCTAGTCCTCGCTGTCCTCGCCTCAGTCGCTGCGGCTCCGAGGAGACGCCGCCGCCAGGAGCCCGCCGCCCCTCTCATTCCAGTCCCAGGCCGCGGCAGCCGGCTACAGACCCTGCAGACCAATCAGCGCCCAGCTCTCGCGGGCCCCGCCCCACCCCACCCCACACCACCCCACCCCGCCTCGCCTCCTGCCTGGCTCTGCGAGAAGCGCACCCAGAATCCCCAGCGCTGACCGGAAGCCATCTTGGAGAAGGGCAAAGGTAACCGCATAGTGCATCATGGTCGGGGCGGGGCTGAGGGGCTTACTCGTCCGGCTGGTGTCTGGGCTGGTACCTTGAATCGGGGCCTCCTACTCCTGAGTATTTCACGTAGTCCCGCAGATGAGTGGCCAGAATGCTAGTGGACGCTGGCCAGAAAAGGAGCACCCGCCAAGCCAGAGCCGCGGCGGAAAGTTCCCTCTGCTCCCACCCCAGGCTTTCTGCCTTTCCCGTAAGGTTGGAAAGCATATCTAAAGCTTTCCCTGGAAATGTCCTTGTAAAGGTTTATAAGAACAAAAAGAAAAAAAAATAACAAATCACAGTTCTTTTCTAATGATTTATAACCATTCTCCCACCGGGACTTAAAAAGTAAAGTAGTTTCAGGTAGTTTTTGTTTTTTTTTAATTGGAAACAAATGTATAGATATTTAATTTTTGCTCTTGGGCTGAAACAATTAAAACCTGCATTAGATTTTATATTCTTATAAGGCAATTATAACTAGCTTATTTCAAAGATAAATTCCCACTTGTGAAATACAAATTAAGTACTAATTCCACCCAACCTAAAAAGAGTAAAGAAAATAAGAGCAGTGTCATAAATTTAGTTTTATAGCTTTTGCTTTCTTTAACATGGCATTATTATTTTACTAACGACTACAACCAAGAGATTTGCTTACTTATTCCAAAGTAACATGGAATTTCAACATGTATGTCAGTGAAAACAGTTGGCAACTGATTATTTAAGATCAATTAGAAATGCCCTAAGAAATTCAGTAGATCCTTATATTGGCTTTGTAGTGATATTTAGAAATTGCAAAACAGTTTTTCACTGACCATATGCTGAATACCACAACCAGCATTCATATTTGTCCAAACACACTTTTGGAATTTAAATGGTGAATTCTTCAAAGTGATGTAGCAACACATACTAGAAATTGGGAATCCATCACCTAAACTGTAAATAATTTTTTTTTTTTACTCTAATACTCACTGAATCCTTTTTTAATAGAAAAACAAAAAGGCTAGAAATGTAGGTTTGGAGAGAAGAGAGTATAGGGGATTGTGTCTTTCTTGCTGGTACTAGGCTTTACCCATATAGTCAGCAACTCTTGGTCCACACTCACTTTCTGAGTGATCTTGTCCAGGCTTTAAATACCAACCCACACTAGGGACACCTACATTTGTATCTCTTGTCCATATCTTACAGGCACCTAAAGTTATTTTCTGAGCTGAGCTCCCAACTCTTTTTCCACCCCCACCTCCATCCATAACCTTCCCCGCCTCAGGTGGAGATGACAAGGGTCCTCCTTGCAGTTCCTCAGGTTAAACCCTGGGATCATCCTTGACTCCTCCCTTCTTTTGCCACAACAGGTCCATCACCAAACCTTGTCAGATCTCCCTTCAAAATCTATCCAGGATCCACCCTCCTCTCACCACATGGGCCAAGCTGTCATCATCCCTCACTTGGATTATTTTAATAGCCTAAGTGATCTCCTGCCTCCACCTTTACCCCGCTTCTGTCTACTTAACCAGCTGCCACAAAGCTCTTTTTAAAAATCTAGGTCCAGTTCTGTCACTTGTTTGCTCAAAACACTTCAATGGCTCCCCTTCTCACTGAAAATAAAACCAAAAGCTTATGAAAGGGCCTCTAGCTCTAGATCTGGTCTCAGCTACCAGCCTTTCCATTGCTCACCCTGCTCCAGCATCACTGCTTTCTTGCTGATATAGAGGCCCCCAGGAGGGCTGTGGGTGGCATGTGTGCCAGCCACCACACAACTCTTCTCAGGGCCTTTGCACTGTATTCTTGCTGCCAATGGCTTAGTCCCTCCCCACTTCAGGTCTTTTCTGAACACTAACTCAGAACCCTGAGGCTCTCTCACTATCACTATCACTATGTTCACCTTCCTTGGCTTATTTTTAACGCTTTTTTTTTTTTCCTTTTTAAAGCTTTTTAAAAACATATTTGTCAGTATATTTGTATTTGTGTATTGCTGTTTCCCCACACTAGAACATAGGCTGAGAGCAAGGACTTCGTTCATCGCTTTATCTTCAGTGTCTAGAACAATGTCTAGTACATAATATACACTTTATAAATATTTGCTGAAGGAATCAAGAATCATCACAGCCCCTCAGAACTGGATACTGTTGTCCCCACTAAACCGAAGGAAGTGATTCTCAGGCCTGAGTTTCAAAATTAAAAAGGTTTATGGCAAAGGAAAACTGGATGCTGTTGATCTTTGAATCACAATCCTGTAGCACTGTAGCATGGTCCACTATAGAACTATGCATTTAATAAAAACACTTAACTAAATTATCCCTTACTATAGAAATTATAAGGGAATGGCACTCAATGTAAGGAGGCTATTCCCATGCTCATTTCTCAGATCATACAATCACTGTACATTTGCAAAAGAGGAACCTAGTTTCTCAGGTTAGCTAGACTGAATCCAAGTAATACTGCTCTTTAAAAAATATTGCTTATAAAAATTAAAAAATATATATTGCTTTAAAAAATAGGCAAAAAATGAATTTTTATAGCAGTAATTATTACCTTTGATTCTATATTGTTATGAAAATTTCCATAGTCGTGTAAGCAAAAATATAACTCAGAATTTGTGTTAATCTGGGGCATTTTTCCCTCTCTGTAGACCTTGTAACTAGAGCTATTTTACAAATGACTTAAAGTGACTGCTTAAACACCAAAGGTGGTACTGGGGAGTTGAAAACTTAAATACAAGAACTATGTGACCTTAGGCAAGTTATCTAACCTTTGTTTCCTAATCATTAGCAAGAGTCTTAAAAACCACCTTAGGGTTGGTTAATCCTGAGAATTAAATGAAATATATGTCATGGCCCCTACCTCATGGGAGATGTCCAATAAAAGTTGGTTTCCCTTTTCCATCAAACAAAACACCCACACCGCAAAACTGAACAAAGGAAACGCTGCGTCATAACGTTAATGCGCACCAAGTTTCTGACCTTTCCTTCTTAACCTCAAAGTGTGCACCTCTCAGAACCTAAACGAAAATGAATGAATCGAGTGGATAAACGACTAAGTGCATTTATGTGGAGCAGTGTTGCTCTCAGTTTCTTGCCTAGCCGCCTGAGAATACGAAAACGATTCTGCTCAGTTTACAGGATGATACAGAGGCCCGCCCACTCAACCTTGCTGCAGGGGAAGGACCTTCCTCGCCCCACCCCCCACACAATGTTTTTGTAGCGCAGCTGCACAGTGGAGGTAAATGTCCTTTTACTGCCGCCGTAGGCCAGGAGGCCCAGCTGCGTTTTCCTACTGGCTGGGCGAGTTTGGCGCCAAAGTGCGGAGGGGAGGCGCAGGCGAAGATCAAGGGGCTGTGGGACCCGGAACTACAGTAGCTAAAGAGTTGCTGCTGTGAGCCAGAGGATCGTTTGGCGTGAGAGCGGGCGGTTGACAAGTCCACGGGATTGGGGCGCCAGCGCCATGTTCTGTGATAAGGCCATGGAGCTGGTCCGCGAGCTGCAACGCGTGCCGGATGGGCAGCTGCTAGCCTTCAATGTGAGGGAGATACCGGGTAGATGGCATGGGCGTATTGGGGTCAGGCCGCAGGGCGGGGCGGCGCCCTCCCCTGTTTTCCTTGAGCCTTCCATAGAGGGTTTACTTTCTCACGGGGTGAACTCTAAAGTCCGGCACAAAAATTTTGGAACATGGCCAAAGTATAGGAGGAAAAAGAAGCCTTTGTGCTTATATCACGCAGAAATTTGGTTCATTTCTGTATATGAATATATTTTATTTAGTGTTTTTTCATCTATAGATGTATTGCTGTTCCTTTGCTTAACCAAACATTTATCAGTTGCTTGATAATCTAGCATTTGTTGTGCAGAGGCATAAACTAGATCTCCGGAGCCATGCTGGGATTCTGGCTCTGTCATGTGACTTTGGGTCGGTTGCTGAAACTTTATGGGCTCAATTTTCTCTTCTGCAGAAGTGGGGGTGATAATACTAATCGTACCCAATTCTTGGTGCGGGGAGGGGTCATTGAGATGGTATAGTCAAGTTCTCTGAACAATACTTGACACAGTAATGGCTAAGTCAATCGTTTTACCACTGCTGCTGCTACTGATCACTGTTAGGATTTTTCCTATTTTTAATCGTGTTGTAGACCAACAAGACAAACCAGACTCAGACTCCGACCTGGGTTCAAATTAGGAGAGTTTTATTAGCCGGCGGCGACTGTCCCATCCTACTCAGAGGAGAGAGCAGCTCTGAGCTCGGGGGGAGGGTTGCTTATATAGTTGTCTTAGCCCCTGTTAAGGAATTTGGATTAAGGGTATGCAAGCAAGCAAGCATATACAGAAGCAGATATTTGCAGTTAGCTGTTATGCCTGAGGGAACAATCTGTTTCAGTGTACACAAAGCAATGGTTATCTATACAATGCAGTGGTTATCTATTAGTAGATAGTTTTTGCCATTCCCTTAAAATCCAGGGGGCAAGGTCATGTGTTTGTCCTTTACATGCCCCACTGGTCTTAGGGTTAAATCAAATCTTTGATTCTAAAATGTCTTCAATTTCTTCCATTGTGGCTAGCCCCTGATAGGGAGTGCTGAGAACCATGAGCTTAACAGCCTGTACTTTTTCTCTAAAAAATTGCATTAAGCGATTAATTAGGATTGGGCCATAAGTTAATATTAATAGGAGGAGGAGTAAGGGGCTCGCAAGGCCAATGATAAGAGTAGTGAACCATGGGGACCAATTAAAGAGGTTCTCATACCAATTCTTAGAGGTGGATAGAGCCTGTTCTCGTTCATCTAGTCACTATCTAACTAATTTTATGCTTTCTCTAATAATACCAGATTGGTTAGCATAAAAGCAACAGGTTTCTCCTAAGGCCAAACAGAGAAGAAATAAACCTGTGGAATAATGTTAGCAAGAATACATAAGTCTTTGGTTCCAACGGGAAAGATGCAGGGAGTCAGTCCTGAGGCGCAAGCAAACCAAGTCCCGGGGGGTGCAGTTGGGACCCAAGTCTCTTGTGATGAGGGGCTTAATGGGGTTAGGGTGGTAGCGTCCCTGCATGAGTCCACATACGGGGAAGAGCTTAGGTCATAGTTGCCGATGATGAAGCATGTCCCCTGTCCTTGAAGGACTCCGAGGGTCAGGCAGGGGCCCGTACCTTCATAGCAGTGGCCACCCTTGAGTGCATCTAAATTGGGTAGGTGCTTTACTGGCAATCAGAGTCAGGAAAGAGACTAGGAGGAAACCCTGGAGAGCTTTATCTTCAGGGGATCCTCGGTCCTCTGTAAGGCCCATTGTTCAGGTATTTGCTCAGGATGTGCTTTCTTTACCTGAGTGTGGTGAATCCAAAATTTCCATCCTGCTACTTTCAGAGCAGTGGGTGTAGTCAGGGTAACAGGAGAAGGGCCAGTCCAGTGAGGCTCGAGGGAAGCAGGCTGATTGTTTCTTGACCCAGACCCAGTCACCAGGGGTGAAGTCGTGTGGTGGTATCTGGGGTGTCCCCAGTTGGGGTCTGGTGTCCTTGATTGGCTGTCGGGTCTGTTCTCTCAGCCTCTGGATTGCCTGCAAAGAGCTGAGGAGGTTATGGTTACCTAGGTTGGCTAAGACCTCATCCCCGATTTGGGGTAGAATACGGGGAGGTCAGCCAAACATGATTTCAAATGGGGTGAAACCCTTAAGATAAGGGGTACAGCGCACATGAAGGGGGGCAAAAGGAAGGAGCCTTACCCAGTTATCGCCCGTCTCAAGGTGGAACTTAGTTAAAGTTTTCTTTAATGTCCTATTCATTCTTTCTACCTGTCCTGAACTCTGAGGCCTGTAGACACAATGCAATTTCCAAGTAATCCCTAAAGCTTTAGCTAACAATTTTGTGGTTTGAGCAATGAATGCCGGGCCATTGTCAGACCCCAGAGCTAGAGGGATGCCAAATCAGGAGACTATCTCAGAGAGCAGTACCCGGGCTACCGTGGTTGCAGTTTCAGTCTTGGTAGGAAAAGCCTCAATCCAGTCGGAGTAGGTATCTATGAAAACAAGCAGATATTTATAGCTATATTGGCCAGGGGTGACTTCAGAAAAGTCAATTTCCCAGTGGTCACCAGGAGGAGGCCTCCCAGCTGTGCCTCGTTCTTGGGTCCCGAGGTCTGTTGTTTCCCGAGGGTGAGAGTTGACTTGGGCACAGGCAGGGCATCTCCTTATTTCAGAGTCTGTCCGTCTGTTGAGGTTTGGGACATAAAAGTCCCAGGCTATGAGACTGGAGAGTTTAGTCTTGCCAAGGTGGGTGCCCTGATGGAGCTGAGAAATCAGCTCTCGGCCTAGGGCCGCAGGCAAGAGGATCCTCCCGTTGGGGAGAAGCCTCCAGCCATGTGGCCCCTGGTTGCAGCTGAGCCTCCGTCCAAGTTCTTCCTCCTCTTGGGTATGGGAGGGCTCTTTGGGGAGGCTTTTTCTTGGAAGGACTGGAAGGATCTCTAGTGGCCCCACTGGTCTTAGGGCAGCCTCCTTGGCTGTCTGATCGGCTAAGGCGTTCCCCTTAGCTTCAGGGGTGTCGGAGTTCTGGTGGCCCCGGCAGTGGATAATGGCCACTTTTGTTGGTAGCCCAGTGGCCTCTAGGAGGGCAAGAATTTCTTCTTTACTTTTGATCTGTTTCCCTCCTGAGGTTAGGAGCCCCCTTTCTTGGTAGAGGGCCCCGTGGACATGGGCTGTGGCGAAGGCATAGCGGCTGTCAGTGTAGATGTTTACTGACTTGCCTTTAGCCCATCTTAAAGCCTGAGTTAGGGCAATTAGTTCAGCCCTCTGAGCTGAAGTGCCGTGCCCTAGTGCCTGGGCCCAGATGACCTTGTCTTCGATATGCTCCCGCATATCGGCATGAAGGGGAGCCTGAGGGTCATCCGTCAGGCAGCAGGGTGGTTGGGTTGAGGGCAGAGGACTTCAGGAACTGGATTGGGAGGAGTCTAAGAGGAGTACCTGGTATTGGGTGATTCGAGCATTAGACATCCACTGGTCCGGAGGGCTCCTGAGGAGAGCCTCAACAGAGTGTGCCCCAATAATCTGGAGGTCTTGCCCTAGGGTTAGCTTGAGTGCTTCTTTAACTAGAATAGCAGTAGCTGTTATGGCTCTGTAGGCAGCTGGGCCAGCCGGAGGCTACTGAGTCTAATCTCTTACGTAAGTAGGCAACTGGTCTCTTCTAGGGCCCTAATGATTCGGTTAGGACCCCTTTGGCAATGCCTCGAGTCTCAGAGTCGAAGAGCTGAAAGGGTTTAGAGATATCAGGCAGAGCTAGGGCCGGTGCAGACATTAAGGCCATTTTTAGTTTCTCAAAGGCCTGTTGTTCTATCTCAGTCCAGATTAAGGCATTGTCCTTTCCTCCTGTGCTGGTATAGAGAGGTTTAGTGATCTCGGCAAAGCTAGGGATCCAGAGGCGGCAGTACCCTACAGCCCCAAGAAATTCCCGTACCTGTCTCTTGGTCGTGGGGGTAGGGATTTTCATGACCGCCTCTATCCTGCTATTGGAGAGCGACCGTTTTCCTTCTTTGAGTTCATAACCTAGATAGGTCGCGGTGGTGGTGTATAATTGCGCTTTCTTGGCTGAGACCCAATGTCCTAAGTGTTCTAGCTCTAGTAGGAGTGCCTTCGAGGCCTCCTCACATTCAGGAAGAGAAGTGGCTGCTAGAAACAAATCATCTACATACTGTAGCCAGGTGACATGTCGGTTCCTTTCCCAGAACAGTTGGAGGTCCTTGCTTAAGGCCTCATCGAAGATGGAGGAGAGTTCTTGAATCCTTGAGGCAGTCGGGTCCAGGTCAGTTGTCCTGAGAATCCCCCTTCGGGATCAACCCATTCGAAGGTTGGCTGAGAGGCGATAAGGGAATTGAAAAGAAGGCATCCTTGAGGTCCAAGACAGTATAGTAAACACGGCTAGGAGGGATCAGAAGCGTGTAAGGGTTCGGAACCGTGGGGTGGATGGTTTCCACCCGAGTGTTTATTTCCCTTAAATCTTGGACCGGCCTAAAATCCTCAGTCCCAGGCTTTTTAACCAGTAAGAGGGGAGTGTTCCAGGCTGACTGGCAAGGTTTTAAAATGCCAGCTTCTCTGAGTCTATTAATATGCGTAGTTATCCTAGTTTGGCCTTTATGGAGATCGGGTATTGGCAGATGCAAATGGGGGAGGCATTGCTGCTTAGTTGTATTATAACTGGAGCCTGATGCTTAGCTAGGCCAGGGGGGTTCGTTTCTGCCCAAACCCCCAGTATTTCTTTTTTCCATTTTTCGAGAACAGCATTAGGGGTTTCTTTAAAAGGCTCTTCTAGTAGGAGGTATTCCTCGGATAGGGGCACAGAGAGCAGGAGAGAGACTGCCAGTTCCCCGAGGGTTAGGGTGGAGCCCTCCTGTTTGAAGGAGATCGTGGCCTGCAATTTCTGGAGATCTCGGCCAAGGAGGGGGTAGGGACAGTCCGGCATAACTAAGAAGGAATGAGTGATAGTTCCTTTGCCTAGGTCAGTTATTCTCACTGTAGTCCAACGGTAGGATTTGGACTTCCCTGTTGCCCC